AATGTATTACTTGGCTTTAATTTGAGTATGTTTTTCGCGTTGGAACGAATTATTTGGTTTTACATGTAATCGTATGGGAAAAGATGATCCACCTTACGACATTTTCATGATACGATCTCAGTTTCGGAACGGATTAATTTCGTATCCTGAGGTACCACTGTACAGTTTTATTTTTTTAACCTTCAATTAGTGATGGGATGATTAATCAAAATTGGAAAATCAGACATTTTCTGGGAATCTGAATCGAGAAATTCTCGTCATGATTTCCAATTGTTAAAAACGATTCTTCCATATTTTATGGGAAAATTATTATTTGTTTCACCAAAGATAAAAAATTTTTTAAATTACAATACAGTAGACCCCCCTATAACACGGGTTCTATAACGCAGCGGAAAAATTGCGACAGTATTCATATAAAGACGCTAAAAGGGACGCGTAAAACGCTGTAAAACGTCATCGCCGACTCGTGTCATGACGTTGAAAATTTAATACAATTAAATGTTTAAAACTAACAATGTTATTAAAACCATAAATTAATCACCAGATACATAGCCTAAAATAGATTTTTCATGTTTATTTTCAGGGTTTAAATATATTATTGCTTAAAACAGGCTTGTAAATAAGCTCAAATTCTTATTAGGTTTTTTCCATATTTATAAATACATTCAATTTTTAAATATCATTTATTATTAAATAAAGTAATTTCTGAGGTTTGTGTGTATACANTTAATTTATTTTAACTTTATTATAATTATATATATATACTTTCCGCCGTCCAGTACCACGCTACGGAGAGTTTAGGCAAGTAAGTTGTGTTTACTATTGTCTGTACAGTATGTAAATTAGGTACAGTAAGTCTAATACAGCACTGTAATTTTATACATTTTTTATTCAATGGCCATAAAAATTATTTCTATTAATGATGTCTCCAAAGTTCAACGAATTTTTCACAGAAAAATAACTTATCAGAAATCACGGCTGCTGTTTGGTGCGCTGCTCCGCGACGAAAACAAGCTTAAGCAATGGCGACGTCAAACAGTGCGCACTCTGTAAGTAATCCTACAATTTTTTGTTTATAGCATAGTTTATATGGATTATTCCCAAAAAATTATACGTATTTTGGAAATATTGAGTCGAATTAGTCTAGAATTGATTAATTTTATGGAAGAAAAAACCTTTCAAACAGTCATAGTTCGTAAATATCACACGTGTCGGGCTGTGATTGGCTCATGTATTTAAGGATTCCTACAACACGAAATTCCTACAACGCGTATCTACCGCGTTATAGGGGGGTCTACTGTATTAACAATTAAATATTAGTACTCTCTGCTTTGTCAACACAAGTTTCCAATAAAGAAACTTTGTGTTGACAAAGCAGAGAGTATACGACACCCCTCCCATACACAAAGTGACGTCTGTCATGGCAGACTCTAACCAAGGTTACTAGATAATCTAGTAACCATGTTCTAACTGTCCCCATTTTAAGGGAGATAGGATGACTTTAAGGTTGCCTGTAAGATCTGTATTCTGTATCTTTATATACAGGATGTAAAAAATTTGAGAGGTTGTAGAGGGGTTAAATTTATTTTAATTTTTTAGTAATTTCATTAATTTTTGTTTCATAAATTTGCCTACTTTTTAAAAATTTTAATTATAAGCACATTAACATTGAACTATTGAGCTATCAAGTTTCAATTTGAGGCTGGTGGTCGGCAATATTTAAGTGTTGGCAAAACAGTTTAAAATGTAAACAAAATTATATTTTAATTGAAATAATATTATATAAAATTGTTTTTAATAATTAGTATGTTTACTTAAAATTACTTTCACATTATAATTATGAAAGTTTTTATGATTATTCACAGATATGCTGTAATACGTTAAATTTTCAAATGAGATTTACACAATTCTGAGTAAAAATAATTGTTTGCCCTGTTTAATTACTTTTTTATTAAAGTTATTTTTTTTAATAGACTATCACATTGCTTCTGATACAAAGATTAATTTCACTGGTGGCTGAATGTTGCCAAATAAGTCAAAGAAACATAAACTATGAAATAATATGTTCTTTAGGACCCAACTGTGATAAATATGCCTTAGCAATATCATCATCATGTGCTGGTAAATCAGTTTTCTTTTCAAAAGTCTAAATATCATTAATAAAATAATCGATTTATTGATGGTTTGAAATTATTTAATTTGTATTTTTTATATTTTTAGATGCTATATCTACTGTAGATGAATTAAAATCATTTTTAACAACACTTCAACCAGATTGGTTGAAAGTAAAAGTTTGTCTATATCTTTTAGATCGGTACTTTTTAATGTGGGGTTACAAACCTGGAAATAATAGAATTCCGTTATCATTAAGAAAAATTGTGAGTTAACTCAAATACTTTATTATTATAATGTTTTTAAATTAGTAAAATTATTTTGTGTCACTAATTGTATAAAATCATTAATACTTAGTAATATAGAGTCATAAATTATGTGACTATTGGATCACATATATTCTTAATTATGCAGCACAAAATAATGCATTGAAAATTGACACAATCTCAGTTAAATTAAGTGAATGGATCTCAGTTCCTACCTGCTATCTCATACCTTTTACATGGCTGCTGGATACTTTGCATTTAGCTGTCTGTATGGTGCACAAAACACCCAAAATCAGACATTTCTCTGTATTGTTTTTTGCAACAATTTATGTAACTAATTTTAAAAAACATGAAAATTATAGACACTGAATATATATACATACTAGAAATTCCATTGTCAAGCATGATAGAATACTTTTTATGAGAAAGTAGAGACTGAAGAATTGAGAAGAGTAGAGATTTCAAGAAATTCAAGAGTTGTTATTTCTACAAATTAAGTATTTTATACTATTATTTGTTGTAACATAAAGAGCAACAAAACAAAATTTCACTTAGAGTGGACAAAAAAAAGTAGAAGTTATAGAGAATTCACTTACACACACACAACAGATTTAGGCCTTTATATTAAAATAATATCATCATCTTTATAATATCATCATCTTTATAGACACTCTATTGTCTTTTAAATTAAATTAAGATTTCCTTGCTGTCTTCCTTTAGTAATAGACAGCTTAGTATTGTTTTGTTGATTGATGATGTGATGCCTATTCTGTAGTCCTTGATAAAGCCATTTTCTTAATTCCATGTTAATAAAACAAAGATTGTATGTACATTAGTTAGATGAGCAATAACAGTCTTGTTAGATTGTTACTTTCAATTGGATAATAGAACACCACTTGGTCACTATGGAAAGATTTTTTAAAAATTTGTTATAGAAATGACATGATGAGGCTATCTTTTTATAAAGTTTAAATTTAATGAAGTATATGTATGCCATTTGCTAAAATATTTTAAAATGCAACTTAAGGGAAATTCCTTTGTCAAGCATGAATGTCATGTGGTCACTGCGATGTAAGTGAGATCACCGATCCAAAATCGATAAAACATTTATTCTATAGCTAATATTTTTGCAAAATAAGTAGCCTATACTTTCCTTTCAGAACATAAAATGAATTCAACCAAAATTTTATCTAGATTGGACAAAAATTGCAGGAGGAGTTATTACACAACACACATTACATAATAGACGATTGCTTTTACATTAGTAATACATGAGCATTTTTCAAGATGAAAATGTTTTTAGTTTGATGAGATCCTATTTTAGACATGATCTATATGAAAATCAATTTTATACTAAAAATATATTGAAATAATTTATATCTTAATGCTTTTAGAATAATTGTTTAGTTATTTATGATTATATATTTAATTTTAACAATAGATTAGACAATATATGTTTCCTACTCCAGCTCCAGTGTCAGAATTATTAACTCATCAGAATGAAAAATTTGATGATAAAATCCATATTGGGTAAGTAAAATCCATATTTTTACAATAGTTTGTATAATACTTCACAAAGTATCTAATTTTTCAATGAAATTGATAATTTAATATAATGTTACATATTTTCTCATATAATATTTGTGCTTATTATCTTTATAACTTAGAATTTTCCAGAAAGTTTTTGTAAATATTGCAAATACTTTCTGGATAATTTTATAAAATAATGAATGTACAAGGCACATTCAATAGAAAACAGGAATAGTGCCATTAAAAGTCAGGAGGATGAGCAATAGTGTAATAATTTTGACACATGAAACTTCCAAGTCAGAGGCAACAGAAACTGTGACTGGCACACTGTTGATGCACAAGAACTTGTGACAACAGCCTCTAGTAGTGCATGCACAAAGCAAGATTGGTGTAATGTTGGTTTTTGTCAAAAATCAGACACCACTACACCACTAACTTTTGTGCACTGCTGGAGAGAGACTGCCATTTTATCATTCTGTTGTCTTATGTTCTCATGCATCAACAATGTTGCCACTCTCAGTTACTGTTGACTCTGACTTGGAAGTTTCGTGTGTCAAAATGATTACACTGTTGCTTATCCTCCTGACTTAAATAAGGCACTTTTACTGGTTTTCTATTAAATGCACCTTGTAATAAATAATTCATGGATGTTAGGTTTTAATTCAATTTTAATAGTTTTCAATTATTATTTTCATTACTAATTAGTGTAAAGGAAAATATCAATATACAAGATTAAACTATAGAATAATGAAGACAGCCTAATTGGAGTTCATAAACAAATATTTTAGTGTATTGAATATTTTTTAAAGTACATATCAGCTTTTAGAAGCTAAAAGACTTTCAAAATTTTAACTTTGTTAGTTATTTATTAATGCATTACAAATGATGTGTGTATTTTCTACATAAATTAACTTTTTTCTTTTGTTTTGTTTTTTGCTCTTAGTCTCATTTTAATAATAATAATTTCTTTTTAAAAATTGCATTAAAATGCTATTCTCTTGAATTTTAATTCCTGATTTATCATCTATTAAAATATAGAATTCATATAAATATTTAAGTTTTTAATATTAGTTATTTTTTATTATATCTTCTTGCAAATTCTGTGAGAATGTTTAAACTTTTATAATTTACAATAATTAATTTAATTTGTGTAATTTTTTTTCATAAAAATGAACTTAAACTATCTCAGAATAGAAAAGAAAACATTAAAACAAAGCAAGCTTTTATCACCAGAAATTACAAGAATAAATACAGAGCATCTAAAAGGTATTGTACATACATAAAATTTTAAAATAAAGAATAAAATAGATATAGTTTTTTATTCATAAATGTTTAATATTCATTTTAAGTACAGTAGAGCGTTGTTTATCCGAATCAATTGGGGACTGGGGTTTTTCAGATAACCGATTATGTATGAAAACATATATTAACTTATACCCAGTGGTGATATTCGAAATATTTAACAAAGGGTTCGCTAACAGAAAATTTTTCCTTAACAATTTTTTTTTTTTCGCTCAAATGGTGCATTAGCAACATTAGCGCAAAAACTAACCTTAAGATATCCATATAAATAAAAAAGATGCGTTTGCAAAATTAAGTCAGTTAAAATTTAACATTGTTTATTCCAGAACTATATTTTTTTTTATAAATAATAAAAAAGAGTGTTCAAAATGGTTTATTTTGTACATATTTTAATATTTTTCATTCAAAATATTTTATAAACATAAAAATTGGCTTTTTTTAATCAGAAAAAGTCATAGGGAAAGCAGTTAAACAAGAAAAACTTTTCTAAATCATTTATTTTATCGTTAGGTATTATTATAATAATAGACAGATGTCATCGTCTCTCGAAATACAATATCTTTCTTATTTCGCTGTTGATAGCCCGACACGTGCTCCGCAGCCATCTTGTATTTTCTCGCGCGCGTGGGATTGTGGGATCTCTCTTATGACTGGATCTAGTTTCGAGAACTCTCTCGAGTCGATCGCGATAGAACCTCGTTTTAGTCGAGATTGAAACGGTCGATGGAGGTTGCACTAGGCGAACAGAGTATAAGGCTCTAGTTTAGTAGTGTTACAGAGTATAATACGTATATTTTAATATATTTTTTAAAAGAAACAAAATCACTGAGAAATGTTACGTGTGTTTAACAACGGGTTCGGAAAACTTTGAAAATGTTAACAACGGGTTTGGCCGAACCTGTGCGAACCCGCTGAATATCACCACTGCCTATACCATGTTGAAATTTTTCTCCATTGCATGTCGCTTCGTGTTGAATTTTCATTGATGTTAAGCCTAACATCAATTTTTTTAAAATAATAATCATGGCTATTGTATTGTTAAAAATTATTTCTTTATTTTGTACAAACAAAATAAATATATTGAAAAATATAAAAACAAAAACATTACATTTTGGAAGTTAATCTAGTATCAAAAACGTTCGATTCAGCATGGCACAGTCCGACTGGAACGCTTTCAGTTAACCAACATTTCAGTTGATTGGCTTTCGGATAAACAATGCTCTACGTGTATTTCTAATCAAAAATCAAACATTGCTTAATATCTCGGGGCTAATTTCTATTTTTTAGAATAAAACATAATTTTACTGAGATTAAATTTAAAATATGCTTAATGAGTTTATGGTCAAGAAAAATCTAAAAATTGAATTGTGACTATTTACAAAAAAATTATAAACTTTTATATGTTATCATGTATGCTGTTATGCAAAAGAAAAATCTAGAAAAAACCAACTGTATTCACTTGATTGAAACTTTCAAATAAGACTTATGCAGTGTATATCATAAATTGGTTATTGCTGAACTTTAACATTTTCTATAAAAGTTTATGTATTAAATGATATGTTGAATTAAATACTAAAATTTGATAGTATCGTGTTCTCAAATTGGGGGTAGGAAATGTTGCAGGATTATATAAATAAGTCTTATTGCTAGTAGATAATGACTTTAATTTATTATATCAGCATATTTATGTAAAATATATTAAAATTTTTTAAATGTAAAAATAATTTTTAATTGTATATTGTGCTTTTTCTAACAGATGATTTGTTTTGATAAATAACAATTTAATGATAAAACTCTTTGCCAGTTTCAGCAGAAAAGAGAAAAAATAAGAAAACATATGATTTTGATGATGATTTGAATTCCTATGATAAAATAACATTTGAGTCCAAATATCAAGTACATAAATTTTTATTATTGCTATTGAATCTTATTCTTTCATATATAAAAATGAATCATTTACATGAAATTATGGAAATGCTAAGATCAAAACACGACTTTCAACACAATAAATTGGAAAATTTGAATGAAGTAAATGATTCTTCAACAGAAAAATCAGAAAATCAAACTTGCTTAAAAGGTAACATAAACATTCCAAACATTCTTAGAACATTTCTTGGGCAAGAACCTTCAGTGGATACTGTAATTGCTATTAGTGATGATCTTTATATGGCAAACAAATTTCATAACTATCAATTGAAGTTTGAGAAAAGTGTGAAAAAGATGTGCACAGAAAATTCAAAACTACCCAAGGATATCCTTCTTGCATTGCAATTAATAGAAATATAAAACATCCAAGGAAGAGAACTATTTATAAGAAATTTCTAGTCAGTGCTGAAGTTTTTTATTTTAATAAATTAAAGTAGTTTCTGTATAACAACGAATGTTCTTTAAATTTCTATTTCAAGGACCAAGAAATTGTAATTTATTTATGATAGTTTTTATGATTATGATACAATGTTATTGAAATATTTGTTTAAATAAAAAAACAAAAATAGAAGTTATTGAATATTTATTTATTTATATTATTGAAACATCACAAAGCTTGAACTATTGACAGATTGCATGGACTTTTGTAACTAGAATGCTCATATGTGAAAACAGATCTGTCATTGGAGTATGGCAGTTTCCAGACATTTGGCAATGGGTACTACACATACACAGTCTGAAAGTTTGAAGGATTGGTATGTCAATGAAATACAGTAGAGTCCTAGACACTTGATAGTCTGTAAAACTTGTTGTGTTGGTAACAACACATGCAACACCAAAAACAAAATACATGTAATCTAATTTTTGTGTCTAGGTTAACCCTAAGATCAAAAAACTTATTGTTCTTCATCATTGACACTTGATAATAGAATCAATTCTGCATGTTAACAAAGAATATAACCTGTTTTCCAAGGTGCCATTGCAAAAGTAACTAACTCAAAAGTAACCACTGATTAATTAATATATTTTTTAATTAAAATTTAACTACGAATAGAAATACTAACTACATACCATTGGTGACTATGTATATGAATTTTTACATATAATACCTGTATGAAAATTTTGCTATTTACACTAGCATCATCGCTATTCCCCTATATGTTAAACAAATTCATTAATTTAGCAGAATTCAATTAGAGTTGGCAACATGCTCCTGCTGATGAGAAGATGTCAAATTTTACCTAAATTTTAACACAATCTCATTTCTTTCAATTTACTGTTAACACAGGAGCTTGTAAAACTCATCATTTTCAATGACTTATCACTTCAAGTTTGTGGGACTCTAGTGTAATTGCTTTATGACTGTCATCATAACACTCCAGACAATTATGACCAAATAGTTTAAGCACAATTGAATAAAATAATATTGATATGCATATTTCTTCCAAAATTGTATCAGAATGCATTTATAACAAGAAGAAAAATTTTCTCATTGATTTTTTGAATGTAATCATATTTCATCAAAAACCAATCTGAAGAAATTTTGCAGGCTGATTCAAATATCTTATATGTGATGTAACTCATTTGTCATGTAGTAGTGCTCTTACATAATCATTTAAAATCACTAAAAAAATTAGAGCAATGTTTGAATCTAAAATATGAGCTTTTTATAAAAAAAGCAGAGACAGATGGAACTTTCAGAAGCATCTTTTTCTGTATCCATGATTAAAGTAATACCAAATATACACTGCAGGCCATTAAAATTGCAACACCAAGAAGGAAAGCAAATAAAAAAAAAATATTTATTGAACATAAGCAGTATGGCATGAAGACAAAATGATTAAATTTGCAAGCAGTTTGGGGTTTACAGGGGTGCAAAATTAGTAGACACAGTTGCCACCCCTGGCAGCTAAAACGGCCCTTATCCGATTAGGCATGGAGTCAAACTGGGCTTGGATGACAGAAATGGGCAACTTGTTCCATGCTGCTTCAAGTCTGTGCTACACTTCATCGACTGTATTAGCAGGAGAGGTGTGGCGGGTCAATCTCTCAGCAACCCATGACCAGATGTTTTCAATTGGTGAGAGATCTGGAGACCGTGCAGGCCAGGGCAACAATCGAATACCCTCTGTATCGAGGAAGGTCAGAACATGACGTGCAACATGAGGTCTTGCATTATCTTGTTGGAAGATGGCATTTCGCAGGCCTCAAAGATAGGGCACAACCACTGGATGTAAGATGTCAGAAATGTACTGATCTGCATTCAAATTACCGTCGATCTGAACTAGAGATGTGCGTGTCATGTACCCAATGGCTACCCATATCATCACACCAGGTGCAGGGCCCCTATGCCAATATCGAATGCAAGCAGGTGACGAGCGATCTCCTCAGATCCTCCAGCCATCAGGATGCTGCAAGCAGAACTGGGACT